CACTCTTTCAAAATTTATATATAGATAGAACTATAATAAATAAGAAAATTAAAATTTCATTAATTAAGTCGTTGAATTTTTAATTAAAGAAAACACGCGTCAAATTATTTTCAAATAGAATCTGTGTGTGATATACATATATAATTATATTTTGTTTCAAAGCATGTAAATAATTATATTAAATATAAATAAATTTTATTTTGTTTTCAAAATAAAAAATGTAAATGCATAATTGGCAATTTAAGAATGATACTTCATTCCATTACAAAATGTCTCTTTAAATTAATGTAGATCACTTGACTTGTCAATAGACTTCTACTTCTCCCACTTTATCTCTAAATGACATACATGGTAGAAAGAATTATATTTCTTGATTATACAAAAAGTAAAAAAAGAATGTGCTTCTACCGAGAAAAAACTAAACATGTGTAGGCATATTAATTACGAAATTGAATATCTTTTGTTTTCAATTCATTCATTAACTAATTTTATTTAATTATTTATCACTTAATTTAGGCTTCAAAATAGTAATTTTTCCTTCAAAAATTATAATTTATATTTCTTTTGGTTACAAATCTTAGAGAAAAAAATGTTATATACTAACAATGTAAATTATTTTTACCATGTCATCCTATCATAATAATCATATATGCTTTGTTAACATATAATAATTATTGTGACATCATTCCACCATACGTACAGGATTATAAATAAAGATTAACAAAAAATACATTAATAAAATAGATGATATAAAACAACTAAATATAAATCCACAATGTATCGTTTAATAAAACTCTTTAATAAGAAGATAAATAAACATATCTATGATTTTGAAAAACCAAACACAAACTAGGCTTTTTACAAAACTTAAACAAAACATAAAACATAAAAAAAATCAAATCCCATCTATAATTAAAAAAATATAATAACGTTCATTAGTTCCAAAGTCACAATATCAAAATAAGATCCAATATCAATTAAAGTACTAAGCTCCTTCTACTTCACACTCAACCTCCTATACTTGTTTTGTGACACCCTTGTACCACACATACTATTTAACACAAATTTTCGTATAAAATGTAATTGAATTTATAAAAGGTGTAATAAAACACTTAACTATTAATTTAAAGTAGAAGGGTTCAAATCGCTTAAAATAAAATTCTTGAATAACATAAAACCAAACAAAAGTATATAATCAATGACAAGGCACAACCCACCTTTTTACTCAAACTTTCAACAAAAAAACTAAATCATTCTTAAAAAATTAATTCCTATTGTTGCTAAAAAAATAATGAACTCTTAGCCTCAATGTCACATTATTAGAGTGGTTCCCAAAGTCTATGAAACATTAAACCTCACTTCCATCAAACTCCTCTTCCTGTACCTGGCCTAAGCCTGCAAATGCTGGTTAACCCAAACACACAAAATAATACACAGGAAGTGATAATACATCTCATCCATATATAGTATATATAAAGCCTAAGAATAACTCAACACACATACATCATAATACATTTATCCTCATTTCTACATCTAATCACATTCATCTTAGTGACACCATGCAACATATACTCATACATCATCAACATCTAACAATCATGTAACTTACACATTCATAATTATAATTAATGACTCGTGTAGATGCGTGTGCCTAACTCTACAAGCGTGTAGTACAAAATTTTTCACCATTTTCAACTCAGAATAACCTAGAGTTTAGGGTTTAGGGTTTACGAAAGGCGGCTCGGGAAGATCATTTAATCAATATGCAATCCCAAGTCATTGCTTAACTTTGAAGGAAATAATGAGCTAACGCAGAAAATGATTTCCTCACTTTTAATGTGCTTGTTCATCAGCCTAAACCACTAGCCTACCTCGACCAATCATTCTTCTAAAAACCATTTTTGAAAAAAATCCTTTCTAACAAAACTTCTGCAAAAAATATATGTATATATCCCCTTCCTCTCTTACCTCTTGACCTATATGACATTAAGATAAATTTGAGAGATACACAGAATATGCACAGTGAACACTCACAAGGAAAAGATAGAGGTGTCCTAGAACAAAGTCTAGGTACACCTGATCTAAGGGCTAACATATCATATCCGGTACAAGCGAGAGGGTCGAACTACACAAACCTCAGGTTCAAGAAGCAACACTGAATTCGACAGGGCTAAAGACTAACAATCCATGTCATTGATCAATGCGCATAGATTAATTTCTTGAAAGTAAAAATTGTAACATCCCAAATTTTCTACTAGGATAAGGGTTAATTATTATTTATTTTTATATTTATGTTACTTTTGAAAAATATTTTAATTTTTAGTAACCTAAAATGGGTCGTTCCCAAACTGGAACGGGCCGTTCCAAACTACTAAAATGGCCTATAAAGACTATATTGGAACGGGCCGTTCCAACTCAAGATTTTATGAGTAAAATGCAAAGCCAGAACGGGCTTTTCCAATTTGGGAACAGACCGTTCCAGATATGCCCGTTGTAGGTAAAATGTGATTTCAGAACGGGTCATTCTAGTTTTGGAATAGACCGTTCTGAATGTAAAATTTAAGCATGACGAGTGTGTCCAAAACAGGCTGTTCTGGATTCGAAGCGGGCCGTTCTGGCAACTCTTGATGCCTATAAATAGAACGCTCTGGCACTCCCAAAAGCACATTTTTCACTTCTGACCTTTTTTTTCTTCTACACTCTCTGAAGACCAAGGGAGAACCCAGAAGAGGGGACTAGCAAGATCTGACTTTAGTTTCAACCGAGGTAAGGGGAGAGTGAGAAACCTCGCTTTGGGTGTGGGAATATATGTTGGGTAGTGGGATTGGCCTCCAATCCTATGTTTGTTGTATGCTCATGTATGAGGGGTTTTTCCCAATTATATATGTTTCTTCTATTGCTGTTCTTATATGTAAATAATTGTATGATTTGAGATCTCTGTGGGTTCTTGAGAGAATCTTATGAGAAACAGGCAAAATATGAATGTTTTCTATTTTGCTATCTGATTGCTCTATTGTATTCCTTGTTGAATGTAATGTGTAAATATGTGATTAATTTTGAGAATAAATATGTTTTGATATGATTTAGAGTGCTCTATGGGTTCTTGCGGGAAACCCTATGAGAAATAGGCAAAATATGAATATTTTCTGTTTTGATTTCTAATTGTTCTGTTGTATTCCTTGTTTGATTAGATGTACAAATATGTACTTAATTTTACAAATAGACGAGTTTTGATATAAATTAAAGTGCTCTGTGGAGACTATGTGAATATGATGAGATAATGTGATAATGTGATATGATGATGTAATGTGAAATGTGATTGAAACATGAGATATGAAGATATGTAGTAATGTGATATGATGATGTGATATGATGATGAGATATGATGATGAGATATGATGATGAGATATGATGATATGATGAGATGATGTGAAAAGTGATAATGAGACATGATGATGTGATATGATAATGAGACATGACAATGTTATATGAGAATGCATAGAGTCTTGATTGACATGCATCATTTGTATAAATTTTTTTAAGGGTACAATATGGAATACACTGCCAGGGAAGGTCCCCTAGTGTAAAAGCTTTGGGGATTATTCCTTGGGGATAGCTCGATTTGGAAGTCCCAGTCTCGCCCATTGTGTGCATGGGATGTATCTTGTGCAGCTTAGCTATCCCGACGAGACCCTGGTAGTATGTCCTTCTAGTGAGAGTGTGTAGAGGGTGTGACCCGACATGTACTCCTAAACTACTCTTCGTGTATTGCTAGCGGCAATATGCCATGTGATATGTTACTGGCGCTATATGCATGATAATATGTAGTCCGGGTCCATACTTATGTAGTTTTAATGTTATATGATAAAGTGATGGTTTATGTCTTGGATGAGTGAGATGTGATGTTATTATTAATTTATCTACGTTATAGCTGTTTTGTTTGTGTTTGGCTATACGGCGTATATTTCTACACTGTGAGCCAGAGTCAGATGTTTCTCACTCCCTTTTCTCGTGTTATTTTTCTTTGACTGTTATACAAGTGATCATCTGCGTGAGGCTGAGGATGTTGGTAATGAAGCTTAGGCTTCTATGTTGGGTTTTGCTCTGATAGGACATGTGACATCGGGGCATAGATAAGATTAGTTTAAGATGTTCTTATTAAATTATTTTGGAAAACTCAGTTTTATTTCTTTGTAATTTTACCGGCATGTTATTTGGATTAAGTTTATGAATGTGAGCTCTTTAACCTTACGTGGTTGGAAATTTGGTTTTTAATGATGAAAA